ATTTATTATTTACTGTTATTTGAATTGCCAAGTTGCAAATATGTTTTTGACAACAAATTTGCATTGTGTTCGTAATATACCTGAAAGAAAAAAAAAATACTTGCAAATATCTGCTACACTTAAATAAAATTTTATTGACAAATAATATATAAAATTTAAAAAGAGTTTGATTTTTATTATTTAATTAAGAAAACTCACGATTATTAGTTGTACTGACATAAAATATTTACATTTGCTTAATGTTTGAACCTTCTAAACCTTCTGATTTATATAAATTAATTTACACAATGAAATTCGATATACTATAACGGAAAGCGTATAGGAAAACTTCTTTTTTTGCACATTTCAACATTACCAACTGATTATTCACTCCTTTACGAGCCATTTGATATAATTTTTAACTCCTTCAACTAGTAACTTGCAACTTCTCTGTCCAACAAGTTTTTCTTCTCAGTTGACTTATAGTGACGACCCCCAAAAATAGGGCGAGGCGTTGACACTGACAAACTGTTGACGGGAAGGACGATCGGCGCAGCACAAATTATTGAGGAACCAATTTTTTTATTTGAAAATGAGGTGATTTTGATGTGGTGCAACAAACTAGTTCGGTATCTTGGTAACAAATTTATCCGACTCTGGTGGACGCTCCGTATTACGATTTTCGTGGATTTGGATTCTTTAGAAGGGGTTGAGCGAGGCTTATGACTGGTGATCCAATACTAAGACGGCTACAACATCGAAGAAGGATCTGAGGATATGAGGGTTGACGCGAGGGCTGAGAAGTCATCTGGAGGTTGGGAAGTCTGAAAAAAAAATAGACCGTACCCAATACGGAGGTCGTTCCTTCCCTCCATATTAAATTATATAGACCTAGTTACATTTTCCAGAGATTTAGTATAGATATTGTAGTTAGTCGTAGACTCTTATTGATATACAAAATTAGGTTTTAGGCATTAAAGTGTTGAGTTTACAACGCATCTATCATTGCACGCTGATGGACAAAAAAAAAAGAAAAAAGAAATAACGGATCATAAGTAAAATCTTGAATTTGGTCTGGAACGGATCATCATAACGTATAATTAATTTACCCTCGATATAACGGAATTTTGATATAACGAATTTTTGGCAAGTTTGATGTAGTTGAAACGGTTGAAAAATATAGGAAGGGATATTAGACAACCAAAAGAAATCCAAGCAATAGATTCACGAAGACGAGGTATGTTCATGGTCGGATGAAGAATGTGTTGGAAAACGTAAGTATCTTGTCCGGTACAAGCCACGTTAAACGATTAAGGATTAAAAGACAATACAAGTATCAAACGGTTAAAGTAGAAATTCACCTAAAGCATGAAAATGAAGGCGACTTAGTAAATACAAAAGAGCGTATGGGCATGTTATTTACCTATTTTCTCAATGACTTTCGGTAGATACAATTGGTAACTATTCGGGACAAATATAAATGGCAAGCACTTAAGCCGTTAAAGACCATTATAAGAAGATAGAAGATAATGATATAATTATAAAACTAAGCAAAAAGTATGGCTTTTGTTTGAGAAAAAAGTTATTTTCAACGGGAATATATATTTCTGGCATATTTTTTGGTCAGAACAAAAGAGGAAGGAAATGGTTGAACAGTCGTTAGAAGGTGTGGAAGAAGCATGGACATAAATTTAAATTTTGAAAATTATTCGATTTGATAGTAAAGCTCCTTCTTCGGACGGTTCAGGTTACGGATGAAAACTTACAAGAATGGTGTATTTCATGGTAAGAATGGGATGAAGCGTGTAGAAAAGATTTACTCACGAGAAAAATAGAAGAATTTAATGATTTGAGTACGAAGTTCGCTTCAAGATTAGACCAAGGGAAGCATACAGAAGTCACAGAAAGTTCGACTACAATGGCTAATAAATGTAATAATAATGGTAAGATAGGTTAGATAGAGAGAAATTTCATAATTTGTAAATTTCTTTTTCTAATTTTTTATATTTATTAAGATCAAATTCAATAATTTAGTTTGAAGAAATTTGTGATGAAAAACTAATATAATTAAATAATGATGATGATTAAATTGTTACAAAAAATTGGGTATCAGAACCAATAAATTGTTACTCAGAATCAACATTACGTAAACTTTAAAAAAAAATTTTTTTAGTTAATAAGAATGTTTATTACTGTTCTTTCCTAATTTCTTTAGGGAGACTCCTTGGAAACTGGAAAGGGTCTTAAACCGGCCTGAAACTACTGGCAAGTGTTATTTTATTTTTTTAAAAAAAGGCTTAAAACGTTCTTTTACATTTTTTTTAATAAGTTCTTTTATATTTTTTAAAGGTTTTAGAACGTTAATGACGTTCTTTTATATTTTTTTAAAAAAGGTTTGAGAACGTTAATGACGTTCTTTTATATTTTTTTAAAAAAGGTTTAAGAACGTTAATAACGTTCTTTATATTTTTTTTTTAGGAATTGTCTCGAATTTTAGAATAAGTAAATAGCGAAGGATTAAAATTTAACGTTACCGTTTATCAGCGTTTTTATTTTTGGTTTTTTTGTAAGATGTGACTGATGAATTAAATAGGATGGATTTTTTTTTAAATTCAATAAAAAGAATGTTTCTTAACATATTTTCTTGTATTAGGGGACTCATGTTTACTTTCATTAAAAGCTCTTAGCCAACTTGATACTAATCCATTGAAGCAGATTAGCTTTCTAGGTTAGCTGCTGCAATGGATAAGAATTTAAGGGACAATTCTAATCCATTGAAGTAAGCTTTTGATAATAGAAATTTACGATAAAAAATCACCATTATGGATCATCATAGCCAAGCCATAGCAATAAGGTTGGTTATATTTGAATTCGTGATACCGCATAAGGCTGATTCTGTTGTGCAACCACCCTTGAAAAAATATTTAAGGAATCAATCATTCACAAATTAGATAAATTATAGCTTTCTTGGAAATTCCTTAAAAAAAAAAAATAGAAAAAATTAACTATCTATTATGGATGTGAATAATAATCAGTTTTTACCAAAATTATCAGTAAATTTACTTGAAATGTTGGACGATGATGAATATTATGATATTACAATCGAAGTTGGCAGTGACCCTTATATAAAAATATTTCGTGCTCATATGGTTATACTAAACTACCGTTCTAATTATTTACGAAGAATTTTGTCAACAAATAAAAAGAAAAATGATGGAACCTTGGTACAAATTAAATTACCAAACATTTTACCAGAAATTTTTCAAATAATTTTAAAGTAAGAGTAATAATTTAATGTATATATACTAGGTAATAATATCTTAATTTTTGCGAATGATTTTTTAATTTATTCAGATATATTTACGGAGGAAGACTTTCTTTGGAGGAATGTGACGACACTTTAGATATTATTAAGATCTTGGCTGCTGCTGGTGAATTGAATCTTCATGAATTGATCAACCATTTACAATCCTTTTTGATTCAAAACAAGACTCAATGGATTGAACAAAATTTCAATCTCGTATATCAAGCAAGTTTTGAAAATGATTCTTTCTTGGAGCTTCAAAAATATTGCACTAACTTAATCTCAAAAAGTCCGGATAAGATACTTAAATCAATTAGCTTCTCTTCAATTCCGGAAAAACTTTTAGTTTCAATTATCCAAAATAATAACCTTCAAATGAGCGAAATTCAAGTTTGGAAATATGTGATTAAATGGGGACTTGCACAGAATCCTGAACTTCCTACTGATCCTGCAACCTTTTCAAAAGAGGATTTCAATATATTAAAGAATACTTTACAGCAATTCATTCCTTTTATTAAGTTTAACAACTTAACTTCTAGTGAATTTTCTTCTGAAGTGTTACCTTATAAGAAAGCCTTACCAAAGGAATTATACAAGGATTTATTGAGAATTTTTTTAAATTTAAATCCTAATATCAGACCAAATGATAAATCAAAAGTTCAAAGTATCAATTCAGATATTATTACATTTCAACATGCTGAATTAATATCAAAATGGATTGATAAATTAGATATTACAGACAAGCCAACTTCTTCATGTGAATTCAAATTAATTCTTCGTGGATCTCGTGATGGATTTGAATCTGATATATTTCATGAGAGATGTGATAATCGATCTTGCACTATAACAATTATTAAAGTAAAAGACAATAACCAAATTCTTGGAGGATATAATCCAATTAAATGGAAATCTGGTCGTGGTTATGGTGCTACTAAGGATAGCTTTATATTCTCTTTTGAGGATGGTGATGATATTAATAAACATATTTTAAGTCGTGTTACAAATGAAAATTATGCTATATTTAATGACCATAGTTATGGTCCATCATTTGGTAGTTCTGATCTTATTTTGCGGGGCAACAGTGTACATTGTATAAAAGATAGTTATGAAAAACAAATCGGAGGAGCTTCTTCAGGTATAATTAATTTATGTACAAATTACCAAAGAAATTTTTTATACAATCTCTTTATAATTTTTGTAGAATCTGCCTTGCATTATGGTATAAGGTGTGACTGCTGCAACTATACTGTCCGTGGAATGAGATGGAAGTGTACAACTTGCGAAGACTATGATTTATGTCAAACTTGTAAAACCAAATCGCGTATACATCATCATCCAGATGACCATGTGTTCAAACTTATACCACATTCAGATTCTTCTAATTATGCTCCTCGTATGTATTATCATAATTTTTTAATATAACAGGACCCATATATAGGGGTCAGGTGATGAAAAAATTTTTTTACTATGGGCTGTACGCATTTTTTCAGGGCCGGAATCATGATAATGTCAGTCAGTTACTATAATAGGAAATTACATTCTGACTGGCATTATCAAAAATTATCTAAAAAAAGGAAAATTTTCATGATTTATTTAATTCAAAATACGCAAAGTCAACCTGACTCTTTTATATATATTTCTGGGTCCTAATATAACATTCTATGTTAATACTAAAATTTTTCCAAAAATTCTTTATAATCTTTACATTACATCATAGAATTTGCTGTGCATTATGGTATAGTGTGTAAGTATTGCGATAAGACAATTCATGGAATGAGATGGAAGTGTACATTTTGTGAGGATTGTAATTTATGTCAAGATTGTAAATCCAAATCACAAAGTATTCATAATCATCCAAATAATCATGCATTTCAACCTATTGCATATTCTTCTGGTATGTGACTGTCAAATCTTTTGAATTGTAGTATTCACTTGTACAAGATAACATTTTATTAATTTTATGTTTCATCATTATAATAATACTAATTAGGGCTTTTTCCGATGGTAAATCCTGCAATTTGTGACTATTGTGAATCAGCCTGCACCAATATAAACACATGTCAAAAGTGTGCCAGTGGTGAATTTTTTGTAGAAGAATATGAATTATTTCAAATTATAAAAAAAATAGAATAAAATTTGGACTTGCTATGTGTGAGATTAGAGAATTACAAAAAGTCAAGAAAATAAACTAAGTATTTATTTATTGATTCAATAAATTTAAATTTTCTTAATAGTTTTGCCAGACAATCATTAATAATTAAAGAATGCAGGTCGGTTGCTGAAATAATCTGTGCGAAATATGTTTTTAATCATAAAATTTATAAATAGTGATTTTATTAAAAATTTTTTTGATTGCGATAGTGGGTATTGACGTATTTTTTGGCTGTATTATCAAGCTAGATTTAAGTTAGAAGTAGTAATATTTTTTCAAATCAAAATAAGGTTCAACTTCATCTTTGTTAATAACTTTTATCTTCAACAGGTCTTCGTATATCAAAAATATTTTAAATTAAATAAGGTAATTTTCAAAATTATTTGGCAAAAGGGGTAAAGCAATATATATGGCCAAAAGATATGAGTATATGACAGGTACCGAGTATAAATAAAGAATGGAATATATGTTAATGTAATTAACGAAGTGGCCGATCTAATGGAAAATAATAATCATGGAGAATTATAAACAAACAAACAGATTTTCATATAACAAGGCGTGATTCCATATAGTTTTACGGACTTAGTGTAAAATAGGAGGTCTAGTATAAAATCGAAAAATTATCATTTTTGCATCTTATACTAATAAAATCGGCAACAAATACCATTAAACAAAAAATAATAATAATAATAATTTTTCTTAACATATGAAAAAGATTTTAATCAATCATTTCTCGCTTTGATATTACAACATATGTACCTCATCTTGGAGTAGTTTAATAATATAGGTCAGTTCTCCATTAACTATTATTATAAATACATTTGTAAAAATAACAGGAAAAGAATATATATATATTAGAAATCTTTTAAAACTTTTTATTTCTTTTTTTTTTGTGTAATTTAAAAGCAATTTACTTGATATATTTTAATAAAATAACTAATTTTTTTTTATTTTCGCCATGGATTTTAATTGGCAATCCGGATAAGATCGGCACTATAAACGTATTATAAAATTTGGGGTAAATTTATTAAGATTTTTTATCATTTTATAAATATTAATATATAATTATTGATTTATTTTACTGTGCATGTACGTATACCAATTAAGTATTTTTTGACAAATTTCAAAGATTTCTTAAAATATAAAAGGTACTTTCCTATAAGCTCAAAAAATCAATTATTCGAATTCATAATTATTTCTATGCACAGTAGATTCAGACTATTAGTAAAAAAAACATAAATTCATTTGTGTATATTCTAATTATAAATAAATTACTTATATAGTATTATTATGCCATTTCTTTATTTTAAAATTTTCAAGTTGTTATATTTTAATTAAAATATAACAAAGGAAAAGAATTTTAGTAAAATTTCAATATTTGAATCAATCTAAATTGCATAAATAACTAATAAGTTTCTTTTATAAAATCATAAATATCAATAACCAAGTCATAATAATATAGAACTTGAATATCATGTAATTGAAATTCCTTTACTCTATCTTTCAAAGAATACAAATCTTCACTTTTTCTATGAAATAATTCTAAAATAGCTAAATATTTAACTTTTTTCTTTTTCATTATATATTCTTTTATATAGGGTAAAATATCATCATTATTTGCACTCTTCACTTTATTTCTAATTAACAATTTTTTGATATAAGTATCTTGGGAATTTTTTAAGAAAACTTCTAAATCACTTCCATTAGCCGCAAGACCTAAATTCAAATATTCTAATTTAAAAGGAAGAATTTGTCCTAAATTTTGTAATATAATTGAACTAATTTCAATCATACTATTAAAATAACAAGAGCAATCAATCATAAGATAATTAAGATTTTGTCTCATATTTTTAACTAACTCGAATACTAAATTAATATTCTGATTATTTTTCCCAATGGATAAATACAACAATTTAATATTATTACAATATAATTTAAGTGATTGTATTAATTGTTGAAATTCACAGTTGATAATTCCAAAATTTTCTAAATAATTGCCAGATCTTTGTATTAACGGTTCTAATAATAATTCATCCATTTGTTTCAAAAATAAAGATTTTAATTTAAATGGTTTGGTAATATTATTAATTTGTCGAATAAATTTAGAATCTAGAAAATAACAATAAACAATATGAATTGATTCTAAAACATCCAATTGATTAAATACTTCACTTAAAACATCTATATTTTCAAAGCTAGTATAATAAAATATAATTGTATTTAATGTGCTTGAACAATTAGGATTTTTTAATGATAATAGTGGATATAAAGGGGGAATATTATAACAAAATGAAATCTTTTTAAGGTTTTCTTGAAACTTAATCATTTGTGATAAATTTTCTTCAATTATTGGATAATCACGACATGTAAATGAAAATAGAAAATAAAATGATGAAATCAAATTGCAATTTGAGCTGAGAAATCCTATAAATTTTCTTACATTATCAGTTATTTCATCAAAATCAAGTGTTAAATCTTTAATATTATGAACGAAATTCGGATTTTGTAAAATTAATTCAAAAGCCGCATCAAAACATTCAAATTCTTCATAGTTAACTATAACTTTAAAACTATGCAAATTTACTTCATTATCAATGAATATTAGAAATAATGACCTAAAAATAAGTTTTGTAAACTTTGATATTTGTGGAGGTGAATAGCTGGGATGTTTCTCTTCAATTGTAATTGCCCAACTTTCAATAGAATTATAAACATTACGTGTATCTAAACGTTGAATAAATTTAGGATAATTAAATAAAGTATTTGAAGGAAATAAACCATTATTGAATATATATTCATTTAATCTTGTTTTATCATCATCACTTAAATTATGTAAATAAATTTCAATAAAACGATAATTTTTAGGGAATTTAATTGAAAATGGATCTTCCCATAATAATGGAATTGCTAAACGACACCATAATCTATTAACTAATATGCATGAATGTAATGTTCTATAGTCATAATGAAAAAATTGTATGACTTCGTCTAATAATTCAGGCAAATTTCCTGAAAAAAATTTTGAACATGCCATGTTAAATGAAAAGAGGGAAGAAAGAAAAGGGTTGCCGAAATTACTAAAAGTTACATCAAATTTATTATATATGAATTTCGGAGCGGCAATTCCGTTTGTATGTCGCACAAATTAAAACTTACATATATTTGTTTTACCGTTGTAACACCAAACAAATTTTATAATTAAAATTCTACCTGCGTGACCGGACTGACCGGTGACTATAGGAAAAAAATATTTTGGGTGGCAAAAAAATTGACCCTCAGATAAATATAAACAGTGAAAACGAGTTGGGTGTGATTCCGGTGATGAATATTTTTAGGTCACGCAGGTAGAGAAGTGCATATGGTCACATGATCATTATATATTACATATCACATGATTATTTATTTTATAATAATAAAATGGTACGTAAATAATAAATTGGTTTGATATGCTGAAAGGTATTTTGATTTTGACAATATAGCCGGAAAGATCAATAAAGTAAGTCACTTTCTGAAAGCATCATTTGTAATTTGTCATTTATGCTTATTAATATCAATTACTAAATTTTTAATACTCTTGAAACTTGTTTATGCCCATCATTTATTACCAATATTTTCTTGTTCTATAATTCTTGATGTTTTCGCGTAGTATTTAATTTATAATCTTTAAATAGTTGCGCACTTGTTATTGTCCGAAGTGTAGCAAAGGACCCTACAGTATACTCCATATCAATGCAAGGTTTGTCTGTCACGCCATGTAAATGATATATACTGCTAGCGAAAATATAAAACAAATGGCAAAAAAATATTTGAGCGTGATACAGTGAAGGTCAAATAACATTTATAGTTTATATGTCCACATGATCACTTTTCATATTAATTCCGCAACTGTTATTACCCTAATTCAAAAACTGTAATAAATTTTATTATATATTATTATAATTATAGGAAGTAAGTTATTTATTTAATTCTATTATTATATATTAAAACTAAAGTTTACATTATATTAAATACATATTTAAATTTTAGAGTAAATGAAAATTTTAATTAATATGTATCTTTAATATAGTAATCTTAATTAATTAAACTTTTAGATTTGGAAAAGTGGAAATGCAATTATGGATAAATTTATTTCTGTATTACAATTAAAATGGATTCTTTATAATAATAAATGTTACGATAATTTAAATGAAAATTTAAATGAATTTTCGATTGAGATACTGTAATATTTTCATCTTTATGGATTCACAAAAAATCAGACACTTTGCATTATCCATTAACAACATATAATTCAAACAAAGGTAATTTAAGAGAAAATTTAACAAAAATATTTAGAAACAAAAATTTTATATGTTATACAAAATTATTTCTGGGCTTAGTGATGTGATATGGATTAAATCTTATTCATTGTGATTTTTATGATGGCAATATTTTAAATCATGAGGATAAAGATGTAGTAGATAATATTTACATTAGTGATTTAGGATTATGTCAAACTGTAAAGTCATTTTTGGTTTAAGATTTTTGATTTTTTAACAAAATATTGATTTTATGGATCGCAGAGCGCCGTGATCAGAAGTAACGTGATCTAAAAGGTAAAATTTACTATTAAATTAATGAAACAATTATATGAAAATAAGAGAATATAAATTTAAAATTTAAATAAAATGAATTTTTAGTAAAACAAAAAAAGAATATAGCTTTTACTTATATTATATTATTTATTTTATATGCAAACTCTGTTCCAAATTGTGACGCTGAATATCTTTTAAGTTACGATGTTTTAAAATTATTAAAATGAAGCATTTTCAACTAAATATTGAAATCTTTAAATTTTAATAACTTGTGCATTAATAACGTCTAAACTTTAAAATAATCTTTCAAATAGGAAAAAAAAAATAATTTCTTTTGGTTTTTAATTTTTTTTTAAAAAAAAGATATTTGATATTTCATACAGCCATCATTTATTCATTAAAGTGAAATCTTTTTAAAAAGAAAACTATTTTATGAAAGCGAAATTTATTTATTAGAATATTTTCACCAAGTTTGAAATAAATTCAGAATTGTCGAAAAGTAAAAAAAATACTATATAACAATTTTAACAAACAAAATTTATTATATAGACAATTTATATAGAACAAAATGATCAATGGTAAATTTTTATATAATACTGTAATACGTAGTTTCGATTAATCATTTAAACGGCGAGCTCCTGCAAATATTTGGCTAGAATTACTCAACTATTTAATATGTATATATTAAGTTTTTCTAATAAAATTATCCAAATCAAATCATAGGTTTTTAAAAAAAATTCTTTAATTTTGTTTTTTTTAAAAAACATTTTTTTTTATATTGTTTGCATTAATGTATCGTATACAAAAAAAAAAAAATTTTTTTTCTATTAAAGTAACATAAAAATTTGAATTTAAAAATGAATGAGAGAAATATTAATTATGTAAATATGGTAAAGCAAATACATAAATACGGTACACTATTAATTAGACTAATTTATGAAAATTGCAGGTGATTGGCCGAGTTTATAAATGACTGGAGATCTTCACCGGTATAGATTTCTCTAATTTTAGTTTAAAATAGTTAATCACATAATGAGCGTAATTAGCGACAGGGATTACTCATTTTATTTCATGGGTAGGGGAACATCATGATTTTTTTAAAAAATCCCGTTACTTTCAACTCCCCATAAAATAAATAATATAAATAAACTTTCTTTTCTTTTCTTTTAATTTATATTTTAAGTCGTAACATTGACATTATTAGGAAAAATGTTCGTTATATTTCTTCAGTACATTTTATTATTTATTAATCCAAATTGCAGAGGTTCAATATTTGCTCACACAGCAAGTTCTAATTATAATTTATCTTTTTATAACTTGAAATATTTCGTATTCTTCTACACAAAATTCACCGTTGGCACATTTTCGACATACTGCAAGGACGCAGCTTGATTCACAATAGTCACAAATAGCAGGATTTGGCTCTAAAATTTCATAATGCAATGATAATGAAATATGGAATTAATAAAACATTATCTTGTATAATCGAAATATCGAATGTTATAATAATTCAAAAAGATTATAACATACCTTCAATATCAAATTTAAATTCTGGATATCCGATAGGTTGAAAAGCATGATTATTTGGATGATCATGAATATTTGACGATTTGGATTTACAATCTTGACATAAATCATAATTATAACAAAATGTACACTTCCATCTCATCCCATAAATTGTTTTGTTGCAGCACTTACACACTATACCGTCATGTAAAGCAAATTCTACGGTGTATTGATGTATTGTAAAAGATAATAATTAATTTTTGGAAAAATTTTTGTATTATAAAATGCTATATTAAAAAAAAAAAAAATATGATAATACATACGAGGAGCAGATTCTGAATGTTGCATAAGTTCGAACACATGATCATTCGGATGATGATGAATATATGATTGAGGTTTACAAACTTGACATAAAACATAATCTTCACAGTTTGTACACTCCCATCCCATTCCACGGATAGTATAGTTACAGCAATCACACGTTGCGCCATAATGTAAAACAGATTCTACAAAAATTATAAAGAGATTAAAATGAAAAAAAATTTTTTTAGTTATTTACATATAAAAAGTAATTAAAATCTAATCATACCTGAAGAAGGACATATGATTTGTTTTTCATAACTATCTTTTATACAATGTCCACTGTTACCCCGTAAAACAAGATCAGCGCCACCAAATGATGGTCCATAAGTATGGTCGTTAAATATAGCACAATTTTCATTCATGACACGACTTAAAATATGAACATTAATATCATCTCCATCCTCAAAGGAGAATATAAAGCTATCCTTAGTAGCACCATAACCACGACCAGATTTCCATTTAATTGGACTATATCCTCCAAGAATTTGATTATTACCCTCTACTTTAATAATTGTTATAGTGCAAGATCGATTATCACATATCTCATGAAATATATCAGATTCAAATCCATCACGAGATCCACGAAGAATTAATTTGAATTCATATGAAGATGTTGACTTGTCTGCAATATCTAATTTATCAATCCATTTTGAAATTAATTCAGTATGTTGGAACGTAATAATTTTTGAATCAATATTTTGAATTTTTAATTTATCATTTGGTCTGCCATCAGGATTTAAATTTAAAAATTTTTTCAATAAATCCTTGTATAATTCCTTTGGTAAAATTTTCTTATAAGGTAATACTTCTTCAGAAAATTCTTTAGAAGTTAAATCATTAAACTTAATAAAAGGAATGAGATGTTGTAATGTATTTTTTAATACATTGAAATCTTCTTTTGAAAAGGTTCCAGGATCAGAAGAAAGTTCAGGATTCTGAGCAAGCCCCCATTTAATCACATATTTCCAAACTTGAATTTCGCTCATATGAAGATTATTGCCTTGAATGATTGAGACTAAAAATTTTTCCGAAATTGAAGAGAAACTAATTGATTTAAGTATCTTATAAGGCCTTCTTGAAATTAAGTCGGTGCAATGTTTTTGAAGTTCAAAGAAAGAATCATTTTCTAAACTTGTTTGATATACGAGATTAAAACTTTGTTCCATCCATTTTTGATGATTCTCAATTATATAAAGTTGTAAATGATTAACTAATTCTTGAAGATTAAGTTCATTAGCAGCAATCAAAATCTTAATTATATCCAAAATGTCATATCTATCCAAAGAAAGTCTTCCTCCGTAAATATATCTGAAACAAAAACAATATAAATTAAAAATTATTTACATATTTTTGTAAAATAATAACTTGTTTATTGTATTAATTACTACCTTAAAATTATTTGAAAAATTTCCGGTAAAATATTTGGCAATTTAATTTGCACCAAAGTTCCATCATTTTTCTTTTTATTTGTTGATAAAATTCTTCGTAAATGAGTAGAACGGTAGTTTAGAATTACCATATGAGCGCGGAATATTTTTATGTGAGGGTCATCACCAACTTCGATAGTAATATCATAATACTCATCATCGTCCAAAATTTTGAGTAAATTTTGTGATAATTTGGGTAAAAATATATTATCATCCATTATAATTTTTTTTTTTTCAAAAAAAAAGGATAAAAAAAAATGATTCCTTAAATACAGGATCGTGGTTTCACAAATTTGCAATGGCGCAGTAAACTTTAACGTTCATCGCGTTGTTCGCGTTGTTTTATTTTTATTTTTATTTTTATATTTCACGTGAACGTGAACTAAGTCACGGTACAAATCGTTGTTCGCGTTGTTTATTGTGCTACTGCTGCAAATGTATCATTCGCAAAAGTATCGGACTTGACCCGCCCAGGATAGAACGGTCACACCTTTTTCACTATTTTTTCACTTTTGGTGTGGCCGCATTTTTTGGCAAAGTTTCACATTTTTCACACTATCCGCAGTAAATTGAGTTTTATTGGTCGATTGATTATCGCATGATTGGTTTTCGATTATCAAATTTTGGCTCGAAGTTAAAATTATTATGTTAATTCCAGCCGAAATTACGTTAAATCTGGCCGGAATTAAAAATCGCACCAAACCACACTTTTTGTTTAAATCACACCACACTTTTCGGGCCATCACACCATGAAATCCTGGACACCCTACCCAGAAGGGTCAAGTCCGATATTTTTGCATTTTCTTACGATCAAATTATGCAACAATATGCACTCCTTTTTATGTATCTTTCTTGGAGCATGGTATGATTTTCAAATCTAAACATATGTGCGGAAGAAATATACTATAAGATAGGATCATGTGCGGGAATGATTATGGGTTATATTCAAATATTAAATATATAGTGCGCTAAAAAATTTTTTAGTGCGGATTTTGCATTTATATATATAAAAAATATTTTTAACAACTATGTACTGTGCGGATTTGCACACTTTAAAAGGATAGTGTGTGCGGAATTCTTGTACGATCAGATAATTCAAATGATTATGTATGACAAACATATTCTTTTCTTGACCTGAAAATTAAAAGCATTAACACGTTGTTATACTCTTATTTCATTATTCTTTTTCTTTTACAAGAGTACAAAGTATAGATACAAAAAGAATTTTTTTGCAAGACATTATTAATAAATAGAATTATAATACTTTTAAAATGAAAAAATAATACAGTAGTAACAGCACTTATTTTTTTATTTTAATATTTAATATCAAAACATTATTATATATTGTAAAACTTGATAAAATATTGTAAAAAATAAATAAATATTAACAGATAAGAGAACAAAATTTGATTTTAACACTGATTTTAACAAGTTGTTTTTATTAAATATTCAAAAAATATTCTTTTTTTGTTTATCACATTATCAATTATCACCGGAACAAGAAGGTAATTTTTCATATCTGATCGTATAAGAAAATAGCGGAGTTGCATAATAAGAAATAGCACGTGATCGTATAACATTTGCGCTACTGAGAAAAATTACATCGCACTTATCAAGATCAAAATTTCAGCCGAATTTAAACTAGTAAAACAATAATTTAACCAATTATTTTTGAAAACCTTCGTTACAACTTGCAAGCCTCTATTTGAGAAAACATATTATGAACTGATTAACCCGTTCAAAATAAACCTAGAAATTAAATAAATTATTATTAAGGTCATACAAACTTAATTTTTCGGTTCTCATATCCCGGCCGGGTCAGTTTTTGTAAATTTTTACATTATTTATCATTATACCGGGTAAGATTTTTTAAAAGTTAAAAAAAAAATTTCATATGAATTTTACATATAAAATTTTTTGAAAAAAAAAAATTAAAAGCCGGGTTGGGTTATTTTTAATAAATATCCTTATTAGTCTAATAATTAATAGTTACATACTACATACACAATTTATTTTTCCTTTTTTGTAGGGGAGGTCAGTTCAGATTTGGTGCTAGATTATAACACTAACATTTGGTAAAAGGCCTAATCTTCTCGCCGCCTTTTTTTGTTCAAACTATGCTTCAGTGTAGATTATATTAAACCGTTATGGAGTTATGAAATAATCTATTTAAAAAAACTATAAAAAAAGAAGTTTTAGTATTGTTTTAAAAAAAATTACTAATCAATTATTTCTATGATAAAAGCAAGGTACATCGGCTAATCCTCCTGGTTCAGGACATTTTCGCCAAAAGCCGTTTCGCCGAAGCCATTTCGCTGAAGTCATTTCGCCGAAGGGATGTTTCGTCGAAACCCATTTCACCGAATTCCATTTCACCGAAATAGATTTGAACATTAGCCTATAATTATCATTTATGATTTTGAAGTTTTGATTTTCTGTTAATCGATCATCAGTTTTTTTTTTAAAAATATATATATATATATATATATATATATATAAACACGTTAAACAAATATTTTGTGCATACAAGCATTATATGTTATTAGAAGACTATGACACGTAAAATATAATTACTTTTTCGTGAATATTTAAACGTTTTCAGGAAAATAAAGTTATTTATTTATTGCGTAATAATTAATATGTTAATATTATCTTAGAAGAAAAGACACTTAAAAATAAAAAGGATTTTTTGTTTAAACGTTTATTTAATTTTTATTTTTATTGCAAAAATAGGTGACGTGGCAAAAGAATGTAAAAATAGAAACTAAAAATAAAAATATTAAAGTACTCAATCAAGAATCGAAGATATTATTCAATGTCTAAGTTTTATTTTATACATTTGTCATTTGTATATTCGAGTGTAAATCAGAATATCTATTAAGGTTCCTGATGTAATTTAATAAATAAATAAAAAAAAATTTTTTATTTTCATTGCGCGATTAATATTTTTATAAAAGTGATAATCGCTATCATTTCTATCATTTTCGGCGAAATGGCTTCGGCGAGATGGGTTTCGGCGAAATGTACCGTTACCAATCCTCCTCCAGAAAAGTCAGTTATCCTTAATGCTTTTCCTCTAGTTCTTTCATTACTGGGTTTCTACTAGTAAATAAGTTGTCAATCACGATTGAATAATTGATTGAGGAAACAAAATATAAAATTAAAATTTAGAAGTAAAAAAACTAGGTAAAAAAACCTAATTAGAAATAAATTTTTTAAAAAAAATGATGTTCTGCAACACTCCCATAAGGCAGATAATTATCCCGAATTTGTGTAAGTTGCTCAATTACAACTTACTACAATGGCAATGAAGTTGGTAAACATTCTTCTTCAATATATCGCATGGATTAAAGATGTATCCATGAAGAAAAGGGAATATACTTTTGTTGCTACTCGTTTACTTAAAGGAGTATTTTTGTTCGTATGAATAATTAGGCATACCCATTTTTCGCGTTTTTATTTTATAAGTAGTTTATTTTTCTCGTTGTTTTCGCATGAATAAATTATATTAACTCTCACGAGCTTGATGTATTTATTTGCGCTTTTCAAAATTGTGCTACACACTATAGATCAACTGATAGAAATGATTAGATTACAGGACGATTACTGGACAAAAATCGGAAAATGTAATCATAATCACTCAGTAATCACAACGTACACAGAATTCCTGAAAACTGCGATAATTAATGTGTACTCCCAATTTTGAAGAAACTTCGATATTCCGGTCTCATTTTCGATAGGATCATCCAATCGGGTCGCATGTAAAATTAAAAGAATAATTATTTAAATTCAAAGAAACTATTACCTTATGAGTCTTTGACAGTTTTGAGTTATATTAGTGTCACTAACAGACGTCGCATAGCTGTGTGTTGAACATAAAAGTCCCTCTTCGGACAATAATTTTTATTGTTTTGGATATTTGAAATTTTAATAAAAAACCGATAAATTAACTTCTTACATTTCTGCACCATATTTTTCATACATGTTTATAACATTTACTGTCGGCTTTCTTTAATTACTAATATTTGTTTGGCAAATTATTAAGGAAATTGAAATTTATTGAATCAATAAATAATAAAATAAATGCTTCGTTTATTTTTCTTTGCTTTTTGTAATTTTCTAAACTCATACATAGCAAGTCCACTAATTTTTTATTATTTGAAATAATTCATATTCTTCTACAGAAAATTCACCACTGGCACACTTATAACATCTGTTACCGATACAGGCTAATTCGCAATAGTCACAAATTGTAGAAGTTCTTTTCGACAATAACCCTAATTCATATTATAATGATGATGGTTAGTAAACTATTAATTTAGTAATTGTGCCGCAATTAAAAAATTTGACAGTCACATACAAGAAGAATATGCAATAGGTTGAAACACATGATTATTTGGATGATTATGAATACTTTGTGATTTAGATTTACAATTTTGGCATAAATTATAATCCTCACAAAATGCACACTTCCATCTCATTCCATGAATTGTCTTGTTGCAGCAATTGCACACTATACCAAGATGTAAAGCAGATTCTATGATGTAATGTAAAGATTAGTATAGAATGTTGCTATATTCAAAAATTATGATAGTACATACGAGGAGCACGGTTAGAAGTATCTGAATGTGGCATAAGTTTGAATACATGGTCATCTGGATGATGATGAATATGTGATTTGTTTTTACAAATTTGACATAAATCATAGTCTTTACATGATGTACACTTCCATCTCATTCCACGGATTGTATAGTTACAGCAGTCACACCTTACACCATAGTGCAAGATAGATTCTACAAGAATTATAAAGAGATTGTATAAAAAAAATATTTTGGTAATTTATACATTAAAGATAATGAATTAATTATACCTGAGGAAGCACCTCTGATTTGTTTTTCATAACCATCTTTTATACAATGTCCCCTATTCCCCCGTAAAACAAGATCAGCGCCACCAAATGATGGTCCATAAGTATGGTCGTTAAAAATAGCATAATTATCATTTATAACACGACTTAAAATATGTTTATTAATATCATCACCATTCTCAAAAGAGAATATAAAACTATCCTTAGTAGCGCTATAACCACGACCAGATTTCCACTCAATTGGATTATATCCTCCAAGAATTTGATTATTACCCTTTACTTTCACGATTGTTACAGTGCAAGATCGATTATTACAAATTTCATGAAATATATCAGATTCAAATCCATCCCGAGATCCACGAAGAATTAATTTGAATTCATATGAAGAAGTTGACTTGTCTGTAATATCTAATTTATCAATCCATTTTGAAATTAATTCAGCATGCTGAAATGTAATAATTTTTGAATTGTTATTTTTGATTTTTGATTTATCATTTGGTCTGCTATCAGGATGTAAATTTAAGAAAATTTTCAATAAATCCTTATATAATTCCTTTGGTAAAGCTTTCTTATAAGGTAATACGTCATCAGAAAATTCTTTAGAAGTTAAATTGTTAAACTTAATAAAAGGAATGAGTTGTTGTAAAGTATTCTTTAATACGTTAAAATCATCTTTTGAAAAGATTGCAAGATCAGAAGGAAGTTCGGGATTCTGTGCAAGTCCCCATTTAATCACATATCTCCAAACTTGAATTTCGCTCATTTGGAGATTATTATTTTGAATAATTAAAACTAAAAGTTTTTCTGAAATCGAAGAAAAACTAATTGATTTAAGTATCTTATCAGGTATTTTCGAAATTAAGTCAGTGCAATATTTTTGAAGTTCCAAGAAAGAACCATTTTCAAAACTTGTTTGATATACGAGATTAAAATTTTGTTCAATCCATTTTTTATGATTCTTAATTATATAAAGTTGTAAATGATTAACTAATTCTTGAAGATTCAATTCACCAGCAGCAATCAAGACCTTAATAATATCTAAAGTGACGCACTCCTTCAAAGAAAGTCTTCCTCCATAAATATATCTGAATAATAACAATTATATAAGTTAAAAATGTTTATATTTTGTAGAATAATAACTTATTTATTATATTATTTATTTACCTCAAAATTATTTGAAAAATTTCAGGTGAAATATTTGGTAATTTAATATGTACCAAAGTTTCATTATTTTTCTTTGCATTTGTTGATAAGATCCTTTGTAAATAAGTAGAACGGTAATTTAGAATTACCATATGGGCGCGAAATATTTTTACGTAAGGGTCATTGCCAACTTCGATTGTAATATCATAATATTCTTCATCGTTCAAAATATTGAGTAAATTTTGCGATAATTTTGGTAAAAATTTATTATCATCCATCATAATTAATTTTTTCCTAAAAAAAAAATGAATTTCCACCCTTATTCCTTAAATATTTTTTTTCTCAAGTGGGTTACACAAGCAGAATCAGCCTTAGGCGGTCTCACAAATTTTTGGTTAATGGAACCTTATTTATATATTTATATGAATTGATGATCTTTAGATTTTATATTACTGCGGCCAGTCTACGGGTTTACATGAACTAAGATTCTTGGAGAAAAAAAATTTGTAAAGAACTAGGAATTTGAAACCAAATGGTAAAATCGATTCTCAACAATTAAGCGCTGATCAAGAAACTGCTTTGACGTCAGGCTGACCGTCTGTGAAAAAAATCTTAAAAAGATTCGATACTGTAATAATCTATACACAATGTTTTAACCATAAATTTATAAATGGCGATTTTATTAAATTTTTTTTTTTTATTATGATAACGAGCATTCACCAATCTTATTAATAGTACTGGCGTGAGTAAAGAGGAAACAGATAGAATATTTTGACTGTATTATCAAGCTACTAGGTTTAAATTAGAAGTAATAATATTTTTCAAATCAAAACAAGGTTCAACTTCATCTTCATTAATAATCTTTCTCCATCTTGATCTTTAACTAGTCTTCGTCATGGTAGTTAGTTAGATAGGCTACATTCCAGAATTTACGTCAGGTATTTTTTTGTAATCTTTTTATATTAAATTAGGTAATTTTCAAAATTATTTAGTAAAAGGAGCAAAGCAAAAAATATGGTCAAAAAGATGTGACAAGTGGGTATAAATAAAAGAGCGAAATATAATTAACGAAGTAGCCGATCACGAAAAATTATAAACATGACAAACAGAACAAAGCATGGTGCCATATAGTTTTACGGACTTGGTTTAATAAATTCGTATAAATTTTTTTATTTTACAGGTATATTATTTTATGATCACCAAATGATTGTTTCTATAATATATTACTGCGGAATTGCGTGTAGCGTTCAAGGTCTCTGGAAAATGAAAATTTGTAAAGAATGAGTCCGATTTAAGGTCCGTTATCTAAAATAATTTGTAGATGCTTATCGATGGTGATTTTATCAACAAGATCATTTCGCCTATTTGAGTGGGAATGATTTTCAATGAATAATGAGATTGACAAAAAGAGAATTAATGAACAAAGATACATTTTAATATAAAAATAAATGAAGTACTAGTCTAAAAGTTTTAATTAAATATATTGGAATTTAAATTTATCGATGTGCAAAATTTCGCACCTAAAATAGGACAATAATTTCTAATAAGAAGTTAGAAAGTGCAGCAACAAATATTAAAATCGTTTTTTTTATAACATCAAAATAAGGAAACTTCAATTATTGTCAAAAATTCTTGGTAAAAAGATATTTTATTATACTCATGCCAAATACATGTAGAGATTTTTAAAACATATTGATAAGGTAAATTTTCAGTAAAATATTTTTATTCAATAAAATCAATATTAATAATAGAATTTATGATTTTGGATGGATGATAAGAAAAAAAAATGCGATAGAGTTATATATTTTAAAATTAAAGGCGAAAAGAAAATAAATACAGTAAAGTAAAAATTAAGTTAAAAGAATTTAAAAAAAGCATCTCTTAATTTATAACGATTTGCGTAAAAACTGAAAAAGCCATAGCTTGCAAATTTGTGGTCATTATTCATATGTGTGCATGTAGTTTTATTTATTTTCCTTTTTTCCTTTTGAACGATGTGCATATAAAGATTCTAATTTTGCTTATCGAACCAACAACAAATTCGTTTCTAACTTTAACCTTATATATGAACTTTATTGAAATATTCTGATAGCTTAGTCAATATACTGTTATTACTGTATCCGGAGTAATTGTATGACCATTGATTAAAAATAATTACGTATTTCAATATTTCATGCAGAATTAGTTAATTCTTCGAATATTAACATTTCTTGAAGAGAATTTGTTCAATTGATGATTTTAGTTATGGGATTACTAAGAATAGTTTAAATATGCTTCTTTAATTCTGTAATTATAATGTTGCTATTGAAAATTATACTAAGTCGTGTATTAATTTAGAGTTTACCATATAAAGAGCTAATATTATAACTGATTTGAGAAACCAAGGATATCAGCAAGTGAAATATTTCATATTATTAAAGAATTTACCTCATCAATAGTAATTTTCTGGTTCTTTCAAAAAAAAAAAAGTTACCATTTATAAAAATAAATTACTCTCAAAACAGTATTCTAGTTAACCCAAAACATATTTGGTCATGATTCGGGTTGAGTGAAAATCGATCAAAAATTCGATCGTTTAATTGATCACATGTAATCAATCATGTGATTTAATCAAACGTTATATTTTTATTTAAAATTTTAAAATCTGTAGAAATTATAATTACGGTAATATTTTTTTAACAAAAAGAAGCTTGTTAACTGTTTAATTTTTTTTTCAGTATACAATATCTACAAATGATGCGAAACAAATAATTTATATTTTACTACAAATCTTCATTACAATTGTTGTCAATCAGTCATTTTTTTTTTTATTTATTTCGTCAAATAAAATACATAAAATTTGATCATTATTGTTTTTATTGACTGGATCCGAATAATTCATTTTCCAAACGCTAGAGTTAAACATTTTAGTTCGCTCAACGGCATAGTTATATAATTCACGTATTTTTATTTGTTACTATAACTTTTTATTCTATTATTAATAGATTAACCAAGCTGTTTCTATTAATATAATAATTATATTCCACTTTACAGTATTTAATTCAGTAGCATATACACAGTGAAATTCGATATAACGGAACCATCCGTTCCAGTAAAAATATCCGGTATATCGAGACTTCCGATATATCAAAAAATTTAAAAAATTTCGATATACCGGATTTTATATATAAATCACATGAAATTCCGTTATATCAAGTTTTTATTTGTGCGACATGTGCGACGAACATTGAAAATTTAGATTATTTTTATTTAAAACATTATTTGAGAAATTTTATACACTGAAATTTACCAAAACTTAAAAAAATTTTGCTTTTTCTTACTATCCGAAATAATTTTTTATAAAAAAAAATTATCATGTTGCTCAAAAAAAATGAGATTATCTGTATCACGTGAAAATACTGTAATTTTATTGGTTTAAAATTGTGAATCGTCACGTGTTCCGGTATATCGAACCATTTTTATTATAACCATTCTGTTATTTGTTCTGTTATAGCTATTATCGAGATTTTACTAATAAATTCCGTTATATCAAACTTATTTTAATATATGTGATTTGGTTCCGGAAAAAAGTTCCGGTATAAGGCCAGTTCTGGTTTATTGGGGTTCCGTTATATCGGATTTCACTGTGTACTTAACATATATATTATAACGTTTTGAATTTTTTTTTATTTACAATATTTGCAATATATGATATAAAAACTAATTAAATCTTTTTTTCTGACCATTTTCGAGAGTGCTGAATTTTAATTAGTATAACTTGTTTAGTTTAGACCATAGCTTTTGAGAAAACGCTTGAACGTCAGCAGTGGTGTGATTTAGTAAAGTCGTTATATATTTTTCTTTAATTTTTATAATTTTCCAATCCAAATTGTAAAGGAATATTCTCATCTAATATTTTCTCACAGAACAATTCAAAGTGATATTTTAGTATTTGTAATTTGAAATATCTCGTATTCTTCCACAGAAAATTCACCATTGGCACACTTATAGCATTTACTACCACTATAGTTTAATTTATAATAGTCACAAATAGCTTTTTTTATTGACTAATTTATATTATAATGATGACGAAAAATGGTATTAATAAAGTACAATTTTGAATAATTGAACGCTATAATTCAAAAAATTTGATAACAACATACCAGAATAGAATAAAGGTCTGGAAATAAATGTGAATACGTAATGGGTTGAAACGCATGGTCATTTGGATGATCATGAACATATGATTTGGGTTTACAATCTTGACATAAATCAAAATTCATACAGGTTGTACACTTCCATCTTATTCCACGGATAATATGGTTACAATAATCACATTTATAGTAAAAATGTAGGACAGATTCTATAAAAATTATAAAGAAATTAAATAATAAAAAAAGTTTTAATCATTTACATATAAAGATAATTAATTAATCATACCTGAAGAAGGTCATCTGATTTGTTTTTCATAACTATCTTTTATACAATGTCCATTTTTCCCTCATAAAATAAGATCAGCGTCACCAAATGATGGTCTATAAGTCCGATAACAATTAACGAAATGAATATCTACAGAAATTTGAAAGTGCAATTTACGATATCAACTAAAAACCCAAACAATTATAAATTGGAGATGATAAGATGATGAAAGTAAAGTAAAGGAAAAAGCAATGAAAAGAATAAGGAAAATACTGAGTAAACAGAATGTTTGGATAACAGAAGACGATATAATTAAGGTAATAAATATGGGATTTATAGAACATATATTGAAAACAGACTTTTGGAAAAAGTATCAGAAAATAAAGGAAAATGCTAATGAATATGTAAAAGAAAAATTAAATGGAATATTAGTTGAAAAACAAGATTACAGAATAAATCAATTAGTAGAAAATTTTGCAGAATTAAAATTAGATGAAATAATCAAAGGATGATCAAAATCATGGATAATAATAATAAAATTTGAAATCAAAATTGAAGGATACTTAAAATTAAAAGTTATCACTGTCTAAAGCTACGATAAGTTGGTCAATTTAATACCACTTTTAAAAAAGGTATTAGTACGACCTCCTCTAAACATTCATGAAACTGGGTGATAACCATAAAAATAAAGATAAAAATACATAAAAAGGATAGGATTTTGGTTGAGATAAAATAAATTGTTAGGATAAATTAAAATGCAGGAATCAATAAGAAATTTAGACAAATATTTGGGAAATATTGCAATTGAATTAATTAAGATTGGGAGGAATTAAAAGATCAATGCAAAGATGTGGTCAATAAAAATTATTATAAAGAAAAATCCCATAGATCGAGTAATATGTTATTGAAGGACATTATTCAACCAGATGCAAAGTGGAAGGAAGGAATGCTATCAAAAGAAGAGACAATACATGTGAAAATTGTGGAGGAAAAGGACATTTTACTAAAGAATATATAAGTGACAAAATAGAAAGAGACCAAATGATATGTTACAGGTGCAATAAAATGGGTTATTACGCAAAAAACTGTCAAGTGGAAATTAAATTATTGAAAGGAAAAATAATAAATGTAAGAATTGTGATGAAAAGGTTCATTATACCAAAGAATGTTTAGATAATGAAATGAACATAAATATTAATAATAAAAATTGGGACCAAGATCAAAAGAATATGTAAGGTAATAAGTTATACATAGGAGACGATTATGTTGCTATTAAAAATAAAATTTTATGATGAAAATACCAAAGATCAAAGAATTTAAAGAATATAGAAAACATTATCCATATAATATAAGTGAATACAAAGGAGATTATGAAGAAATACGTTGCTATTATACGAATAAAAGACTAACAGGATTAAAAAAGGGAATTCATTAAAATCAATCTAATTAAGGCAAATAGTGAAAAATACCAGAAAAAGATAATGAGATCAAAAGTAAAAAGCAAAATAATGGAATCAAAAGTAACAAATAAAATTATGAAATTGAAAATTGAGTAATAGGAAAATTTTGAGATAAAAGTTGAAAATTGGTGGAGATTTTGAAATTTTTTAATAAAGAATCTTTGAAAACTTGGACAGTGGAAAATTTTGAAAAAAACAGTAGAAGTTTTAAATAAACTTGAATAAAAGGAAAGATCAACAAGTTATACAATTAGGAAAATAACATAAATATAGGAGGGTGCCAGACTTTGATCTGACATTTGAAAAATGAAAATGATGATTTGAAGAATTTTCTAAAAACTATTTTGAAATTTACACATAAATTAACAAAAATACCAAAAATATTATAAGAATAATAATATAATAATAATAATAAATAATTTGGAATCTAGTAAAGAAAATGAAATAATAATAAAAATAAATATTAAAGAAAATGAAACAATAGTAATAACACAGGAGATAGAATTGAAAACAGAAAAACAAGTAAAGACATGAAAAGATAGTTAGGGAATTACAAAATTTTATGACAGATATGACATATGAGAATTACAAAGAAAAATTTGAAAGGGAAATGTCTGAAACAAGTATTGAAGATAATGATGAAAATGCTAAAAATCACAATAATGGTAATACTAGGGATGACAATGATGTTGTTATGGAAAATAATGAAGGTAACAATATTGAAAATGTTGAAGAACAAAAGAATGATGAATATAATGATGATATTAAAAATTGGAAAAATAATTACTGTAATGATAATAATGAAAATAATAATATTGGAGATACCATGAGCCAAAGGAATAGTGATATCAACATAAGGAACAATAATGCTGATACTGAAAATATCAATAAAGAAAATCAAAATATCATAAGTAATAAAAATATGATAATGGAAGCAAATGATAATACTGAAAATATCAAAAATCAAGAAAATGATGCCGATATAAAGAGTAATGATACCAAAAATATTGAAAATTGGGAGAATAATTATTATGATAATAGTAAAAGAGATAATGAAAATCAAGAGATTAATGACAATAATGCCAATATTGAAAATACTGATAAAAATCAGAATAATGAAGATATAATGGAAACAAATGATAATATCAATAATGAAGTAATGCAAACAGATGAAAACCAAGACTTAAGAATTAATTTTGAAAATGGTGATGGGAAAGAAAAGAATAATTAAAGATGTAGTATGTAATTGATAATTACTACCTTGTGTTGTAATAGTAAAGGTTGCAACCTATTACTACTTTTAAAGTTAAAGTGTTGTATTACAACACTTATGATTGTTCAAAAATTTCCTTTTTGAAAAATAAAAATTACAAAAATAAGTTTTTATAGAACAAATATCATCATAAAAAGAAATGATTAATATATTATAATACATATTTATATAATTGGAAATAATTACAATACTATAATAATTACAATACTAGTAGTAATTATAATACTATATAACAATTATAATATTGTGTTGAAATTACAACAAAAGTGTTGTATGTATGTTGTAATAGATGCAACCTCACAACCTTTTAAAAATAATTACATATTACATATCTTTAGAGAAGATTGTTGACAAAATCATAAATAGTTACATTTATCAGGAAAGAAAAATTAAGGATAAGGAAAAATTAAACAATTTAATTAAGGAATTGGTAACTGAAGGATCTAATATACTAGAAGAAGGAATTGATGAAAGATCTGAAGGTATAATAAAATTATTCAGGAAAATGGAATGTAATAAACTAAAACAAATAATAAATGGATATCAATTTGCAAAAATGGTAATCAAGGAAAGAGAAGAATTGTATACTGTATAGGGATAGAAATGAATTAGAAGTTGCTGAAAAAGTAAACAAGAAAATATGGAAAAGAATGCCAGAATACAGTTATTTAACAATAAGAAGAAAAACAGGACAAGCAATTAAAGTTTATGAAATGTTTAGTAAAATTGGAGAAAGAAAAAGAATTATAAGAATCAAAGATTTTATATGATCATGCATTTCCAGATTGAATGAAGAAGAAAGACAGTATGTAATAAATGAAGTAAAAGCAATATAAAAAGGAGATAATGGATTGAATGAGAATTAATAATTATAAAAAAGATAAAATTTGAATTAAGCTGAAATATTAGAATAATCATGAAAACAGAACAGAAATAATTCAAAGATTTGATAAAATATTAATAAAATAATCCAATTGAGAAATGAACTAAAACAACAGAAGGATGAAAAGACAATTACAACAACAATTAAAGAATTGATAAATATTGGAAAATTATTGCAAAATAAATAGAATAAGTCAAAAAAATATTTAGAATTAAGAAAAGAATGGTTAAAATCACAAGATCAATGGTTAGAAAAACTTATAAAAAGGGTTGAATTTTGACCAAGTCTAAAATAAAAAAAATTTTCCAAAGAAAATTTTATTTCATAAAAATTTTACCCTTAGGATAATAATAATTTTAATTCTTTTAGCATTTTTCTTATGATGAAAAATTGCCACATTAATCAAAAATTAATGGTTTATAGATATAATCATGAATTGAGATTACATGATGAAAAATCATATGACTCAAAAATAATTTATGGAAATTTTGGAGAAAGACCTAAGAGAAATCTGGCACAAAAATATCATAGAAATTTTCAGATAAAATGATAATTGCAAGGGAATAAAGTGATGATTGTAAAATATCATAGTGATAATTATGAAGATATCACATGATAATCTTAAAATAATTGCATACTAAATTTGGAAAATCACATGATAAACACATAATGAATACATAATAAACATATGATAAACATATGATAAACATATGATAACAGCTAGATCATGAGAAAAAAAATATGTAGAAAATTCTAATAAAAAGAAATTGCAGTAGAAAATAACTGAAGAAATTATAAGAAGAGAATAGTACAAAGAAAATAACAAAGAAGAATACAACAATTTTTGGAAAGAAAATTTAAAAAGCAGACAAAACCATCAAAATTTTATATAAGACAAAAATCCAAGTCACTAGAAAGTTGTAGTAATTAATTAATGGATGATCGACAAAAATGTTGAAATAAGATGATCAATAAAAAGATCAACAAAAGCACAGAAATAAACTAATAGAAATTCAGAAATGGAAAATTAATGACTTAAAAAAATAGTTTGAGGATAATATCAGAAAAATCATATACCTATTATAAGGGGAAGTTGAAATTTCAAATCAAAATAATTAATTAGAATTACTAAATTAAGAAAGGAAGTAGATTATTACCAAATAAAGAAATTTTGGAGAGTATAAAGTGGTACAAAAAGGTATAGCAGAATATATGAAAGGGAAGATCTAAATCTTCTACTTACATAAAATTGTGTGAGAAAAACACAGTAGATCAGGTGATAAATTGAAGCCGCAGTAGAAGAATAACTGACAAAATGTAGCAAGTCAAGTGATATTACATGGGATTAATACCTGAATTCGATTCTTATTGGAGTATATAGAAGTATAGATATAGATAGATTAGATAGATAATAGATAATAGCATTTTCATTAATTTATTTAAAATAAATTGTGGGGTCACAATTTGTTGAAGAGGGAATATGTAATCCGCAGAAACCAAGTATGGAATTAATAAAAATAAAAGTCATACAGGACTTATTTGTTTTTAATAAATCAAGTTATGATTTACAATGGTACAGCTAAGGTTGCTTGCCGAAACCTTCTTAATAACTGCCGAAACTTATACGGAAAATGCTGAAACTATATTAAATCATATTAAAAATCCTGCCGAAAATTTGCCAAAATGCCGAAACCCATTTGCCGAAACTGCCGAAACCCTGCCAAAACTATAGTAAACATATAGTAAAATCTTGCTGAAATTTATCGCAGGATTTTGGAGAGGTTTTGGCAAGCAACCTTAGGTACAGCACATGTGAAATTTGAAAAGAAATACCTAATAAATGGTATGAATGATTGGGTTGAATTTATTGGGCCATTGCCAGAAGATATTTTTGATAATCTGTTGAAACTTCACCCCATTTTGGGAATGAAAGAATTGCATCAAAAGTGAAGGAAATCACTAATTGCATTCCTCATGAGCTCATCTATTTTCATAAACATATTAAACATTTAAACAGTATTTCCAATATTTCTGATAACAAAGTTGATGAACTTCTGGAACACTTCTGTGGAAATCAACATAGTGAACTTTAAAAATATAACTGAAAGGTTTTTATAGTAATCAATTTTTTTTACCAATATCAAGTGTTTCGAAATGATTTCTTGCAATGTTTAAAGTCATTATATGTTGAACAGAATATAAGTTTTGACTGGAAGTTTTTAGACACCGGATTAGTGTATCATTTCAAAGACATATATGATTTCATGTTATTTAAACCGCTATGCCCAGCTGCACTGAATGCTCTCTTAGATGTGTACAAGGATTTTCCATTACTAAGAGATGTGAGTATTATGTCTCTTAGTAATGGATAACTTAATGCTTATAATTTTGAGGAAATACTTTTCTAACAGATGTTAAAACATAGTGATATTTTACTATAGGCAATGGGTTTGGCTGGAAAACCTACAACTGATGTGCATATAAAATTTGAGCATTTCATCCTTCTTGATAAGGACCAACTCACATCTAATTCACAACATTCAAAGTTCTTAATTTGTGATTATAAATGTTACCCTCAGTTTGATTTCATAATTGGTTACATATTTATCCAAGTATCCATCAGCTCTTTCATATAATATAACAAAGGATTCGCAAATATTTCAAAAGCCTTTAAATGCTATTATAAAGATGGCCATGATTTAAAAAATCAAATAGAAATATATCTGGATACAGTATTTGGTGGTCAGCAACTCAGCATGCAGTTATGCTTATAAATGGCAAATTTAATATTTTCAAAAATGGTTTACCAGTTGTACTACTATTGTACCAGACTTTTGAATTGTCTATATGCAAGGAAATCCTGGTTCACCTAATCATAATCAGTTGGTTAAAAAATAACAAGATATAGTATTTATCTCTTATAATGAGGTAAAGTCTTTGGTATTTTCTTACACAGTTAGCTATGTACTGCATTTTATGTATGATCTTAAATTATTAATAAAAATAATTATATTGCTTGTATTCAGTGTGTTGTAAATAGGAATGGCAACAGTCAGTCATGGTCAGTTAGCAGTTGGTCATAACCGGTTAAGGCCTTTGACCGACTGACCATTTTGGCTGACCATTTTTCTGACTGTTTAACCGACCATTTAACTGATCACTTTTTTATTATTTTAACAAAGAAAAAATGTTTAAAAGTATAATTTAATCAAAAAAAAATGTTAATTAACTTTTTTTATTAATTAAGTTCGTAAAAAAAGTGTTAAGTGAATATATTTGGCTAAATAATCGGTTAAATGGTTGGTTAAACGGTTGGTCAAACGGTCAGTCAAACTGGTGATAATGAAGAGTAAAAATCACGTAACTCAAAAATCAGTTGATTAATTAGTAGATCAATTATTATGTAATCAAATAATTTTGTAGATCTGATTAACGTTACAATTATTATTTTTGTTATTTATATTATTTATATTATTTTTATTATTTATATTATTTCTTTTATTTATTATATTTATTTTATTTATTTTAGTTATATTATTTTTCTTATATTTTATTTTTATATAAATATCTTTTGATTTTTCTTGAGTCAAAGGTAGAAATAGAGCCGTTCATAATATTAAAAAAAAATCCAAGGTTCATAATGAACCTTAGTTCTCCTTTTTCCAATTCTTGGAAGCCCATCTGAACCTATAAAAAAAAAAGAAAGAATGGTTAGTAAACCATTTGTAATAATAAAAATAAAAAAAAAATTAAAGATCCGTACTTACGAATCTTTGGGTTTTCATTCTTAGATCGAAGTGTGTTAAGTTTAGATAGTATAAGTTAGAGATTAACTTATATTAAAAACGAACTGTGATTGTGTTATATTTTTGTGTATTGTGTTTTTGCATGTCTTGCTGATATAAACTATGTTATAGCTATTGTCTCCCTAATGTTTAGTTATAGTTGACAGAGTCTGAGACAGACCTGTTAACAAAGTGGTGATTCCTGCCAGGTCATAAGAGATTTATGACCATACAAGACCAATTCAAATAACAATTACAGTTAACTACTCGCCATACCGCTCAACATCTTT